GGGCTGGTTTGGGGGTGTCAGGGGAGGTCCCTGGGCTGGTTTTGGGATCCCTGGGCTGGTTTTGGGGTCCCTGGGGTGGTTTGGGGGTCCCTGGGGCGGTTTGGGGGTTTTATCAGGGTCCCTGGGCTGGTTTGGGGGTCCCCCCGGATCCATGGATTCCCTGGGATCCTCCCCACCCCAATCTCACCCTTTCCTCCCCCCCCAAATCCCGCAGTTTTCCTGGATCCATGGATTCCCTGGGATTCTCCCCCCAAATCTCACCCGTGTCCCCCCAAATCCATGGATTCCCTGGGATTCTCCCCCCCCAAATCCCACAGTTTTCCTGGATCCATGGATTCCCTGGGATTCTCCCACCCCCCAATCTCACCCTTTCCCCCCCCAAATCCCGCAGTTTTCCCGGAATCCATGGATTCCCTTCTCCTCCTCTGCTCCCGCCGGCTCGTCTCCCGCCACCCCCTTCCCGCCATTCCCGACGACCTGTATCCCGCCCTTTTCCGAGCAGCATTCCTGGATGGGAGGCTCCAGGTGCTGCGGGATCTGGTGGCCCAGTGGCCCTTCCCGGAGCTCCAATTCCAGCGGATCCTCGGGAGCCGGGAGCTGCTCCGGGATCACTCCAAGCTCTGCATCCGAACCGTCGTCGGAGCCGTGGCCGAGCGGCTCCAGATGGACCTGGAGGAGCCCGGACGTGATTCCAGGTGGGTCGGGAATTCCGGGATGCGGCGACGCCTGATTCCAGGTGGGTCGGGAATTCTGGGATACAACAACCCCCCCAATTCCAGGTGGGTTGGGAATTCCGGGATATGACAACACCCAGTTCAGGGTGGGTCAGGAATTCCGGGATACAACAACACCCAATTCCAGGTGGGTCAGGAATTCCGGGATATGACAACCCCCAATTCCAGGTGGGTCGGGAATTCTGGGATACGACAACACTCAGTTCCTTCTTCCTTGGGTGTTTTCCTGCTTATTTTTCCCTGCTTATTTATTCCTGGGTTTCCCACTTTTCCCAGCCCAGTTTGGCAATAGGGAATTCCGGGATATGACAACCCCCAATTCCAGGTGGGTTGGGAATTCCAGGATACAACAACACCCAATTCCTTCCTCCTTGGGCACTTTCCTGCTTATTTATTCCCGGGTTTCCCACTTTTCCTTTCTCCTTGGGTGTTTTCCTGCTTATTTATTCCTGGGTTTCCCACTTTTCCTGGCCCAGCCAGTGTGATTCCAGGTGGGTCAGGAATTCCAGGATACAACAACAACCCAATTCCTTCCCCCTTGGGCGTTTTCCTGCTTATTTTTCCATGGGTTTCCCACTTTTCCCGGCCCAGTTTGGCAATAGGGAATTCCGGGAAACAGCAACCCAGTTCCAGGCAGGTTGGGAATTCTGGGATACAACAACCCAATTCCAGGCGGGTCGGAAATTCCAGGATAAAACAACAACACCCAATTCCTTCCCCCTTGGGTGTTTTCCTGCTTATTTATTCCTGGGTTTCCCACTTTTCCCAGCCCAGTTTGGCAATAGGGAATTCCGGGATACAACAACCCCATCCCTTCCTCCTTGGGCGTTTTCCTGCTCATTCATTCCCAGTTTTCCCACTTTTCCTGGCCCAACCAGTGCAATTCCAGGCGGGTTGGGAATTCCAGGACACAACACCACCAACACCCAATCATCCCTTCCCTCCTTGGCCATTTTCCCGCTCGTTCATTCCCGGTTTTTCTTTTCCCATTTTTTTTTTCCCGGCCCAGCCGGCGCCGCCTGCGAACCCTGGACCTGACGGAGCTTCCGGACGGGAAAAGCGTCGGATGCGGCACCGTGGCCTTGGCCAAGGCCTGCCTGGAGCTCTCCAAGCGCCGCCGCCGCTCCTGGAAATCCCAGAAATCCCAGAAATCCCAGAAATCCCGGAAATCCCAGAAATCCCGGGAAAAGCCCCGCAAGGGCCATCCCGGTTTCTCCGTGGACGCCCGCTCCGACTTCCAGGTGGACGACGTCTCCCACCGGATCCTCCGGGCCGCCCTCCGGAGCGGGAACGCCGGGAGCCCCCTGCGCCTCCGCTGCCGGGAATTCCGAGCCCGGAAGCTGCCGGCGGAATCGGTGGCGGAGCTGCTGGAATCCTTGGATCCACACGGAGTGGAAAAAGTGGATCTGACCTTCAGCATCCTGGAGCTCCTCGGCCTCTTCCTGGTGTTGCTCACCCTTCCCAGATTCCCGGCGCTCCGGAGCCTCCGGATCCGGTACGTCCGGGAGGACGCCTGGGGGAAGATGCCGAGGTGGGCGCCGGAAATGCGGGAATTCTCGGAGGAGTTGGGATCCCTGCCGGGCCTCCGGGAGCTGCGCTTGGGATCCTTCGGCTTCTCCGGGGATCTGGGGCGCTTCCTGGGGTGAGTTCCCGGCTTTTTTGGGAATCTTTTTCCCGCGTTCCGGGAGGTCGGGTTGGGTCGTCTCAGGGGGAGTCTTTCCCGACCACGGCGATCCCGGGATTCCGTGATTTCCCGGTCCCGTAATTCCCTCGTTTCCGGGATTCCCGAGGGTCGAACTCGACCGTCTCCAAGGCCTTTTCCAACCGTAATGGCTCCTTGATCCCAGAATTCCCTCATTCCCTGTTTCCGGAGGACGGCAAGCGCTGCCTCCCCGGAATTCCACGACTTCACCATCCCATAACTCCGTGACCCCGTGATTCCATGACCCCATAACTCCAAGATCCCATAATTCCATGACCCCATAATTCCATGACCCCATAACTCCATGACCCCATGATTCCATGACCCCATAACCCCATGACCCCATAACCCCATGACCCCATAACTCCCTGACCCCATAACTCAATTCCATGATCCCATAACTCCATGATCCCATAACTCCATGACCCCATAATTCCATGATTCCATGATCCCATAACTCCATGACCCCAAGATCCCATAACTCCATGACCCCATGATTCCATGACCCCATAACTCCATGATCCCACAATTCCATGGCCCCATAACTCCGTGACCCCATGACTGATTCCACAGTCCCAAAGCTCCATGATTCCATGACCCCATAACTCCATAATCTCCTAACTCCCAAGATCCCATAACTCCAAGATCCCATAACTCTATGACCCCATGATTCCATGACCCCATCATTCCATGATCCCATAACTCCATGACCCCATAACCCCATGGTTCCATAACTCCATGATCCCATAACTCCATGACCCCATAACTCCATGATCCCATGACTGATTCCACAATCCCGAGGTTCCATGATCCCATAACTCCAAGATCCCATAACTCCATGACCCCATAACTCCTCTTCCCTCTCCCCCCAGCAAGCTCCAGGCTCCATTGGAAATCCTGGAATTGCCCTTCTGCTCCCTCCTCCCCGCCGACTTCTCCTTCCTGTCCCGGAGCTCCCACGCTCCGGCCCTGAAAACGTTGGATCTGAGCGGCCACGACTTCTCCGGGAACCTCCTGGAGCCCCTCCGGCAGCTCCTGGAAAAATCCTCGGGCTCCCTGCTCCACCTGGATCTCATGGAATGCCGCCTGACGGATTCCCACCTGGAATCGCTGCTGGATTCGCTCCGCCGCTGCTCCCGCCTCCGCCGCCTCCGGATCCTCGGGAATTCCTTCTCCGCCGCGGCGCTCCGGGAATTCCTGCGGGAGACGGCGGAATTCCCGGAGCTGCGGTTGGTGGTGCATCCGATCCCTGTGGATTGTTTCCTGTCCCGGCGCTTCCCGCGCCGCTCCGGCTCCCGCTGGGTCCTGGAGAAGCGCTTGGATCCCGGGCTTTGGGAAGCGGAGAGGGCGGAGCTGGGACGGATCCTGGAGAGCTCCGGGAGAACCGATGTTGTGTGGACACACGATCCACACGGACACTCAGCCCAATCCCAATCCCAATTCCAGTCCCAATCCCAGTCCCATTGCCCATCCCGATCCTGATCACAATCCCAATCCTTATCTCAATCCCGATATCAATCCCAACCCCGATCCCAATTCCGATCCCAATC